TTATTTCGATAGTGTATCGAAAATTACTTCAGTCGAGTACAAATTGATTGAAAGCTTCTAAGATCCGGACTGAATTGATTGACGAAGATGCCTTGCGGATATAGGTTGCGTTCGCTGTTCCAACGGACAAAATATACTTCCGTATAGTGACTTACCGTATCAAAGTTGATCAGAGTCGAGCGATAATTGTTGAACAATATCTCTCCATCATTAGATACACCATTTAATCGAATCGTCAGTTGTAAAGATTTTTTATTAACGATGGTGTCGCATAAATAAAACGACAGAAAGAAATAAAAACAAAAGGTCGAAAGAAATATGGTTGAATGAGAAAGAAATTTTTTCATTTGCAGTCGAAAAAAAGACGGGGTACAGTATAGCGAAAAATCAAATATATTTGTACGACTTACTTGCATAATGTTGAGAACAATTTTTAATTATTTATCATGCATCACATATGCACCGCAAGATTAAAATTTACATTTAATATACAGTCTCTTAAATATATGTTTTAAATGCAACGTCAATATTTATTATCATAAAAATTAATCATACCCGTTGAGTTAAAATTTCTAAAAACGCAATCGATCTTCCTCGATCGAAAATCGGTTCATAATTGTCACATTTTCAATTGTTCGTCGAGGAGAGCTCCTGATTTACGTACTTTTTTCTTCGTTTTAGACGATTTTTTTTTAGACTATGGAGTATCCTGTTCTTTTTCGCTCACTTCTTTAGACTACGGAATTAAGAAAAGTTTTTATTCATTTGGAAGCGGTAGCAAGTTCATAGCTTCGAACACTTTTTTCATCGAAGGCCTTTTCCCATCCATGAGGCCGACTATTACGTCCTTGTTCACCTGGTAATGTTTCTCGTTATTATATTTTTTTATCAAATCCGCGCGTTTTTCTAATACTTCCTCATGTTTCTTCCATTTCTCAAGCGATTTTTTTTTAATTATATGTTCTCTAACCCATTCGTGATAATCTGGCCACAACCTTGGTTCTTCAGTTAAATGTGCTTCTAAAGGGTAGTTCACAGGGAGACCTTTTTTAAAATGTTTTCCCTTGTAGATTACATTGGTTGATCCATTTTGTCGTGTTTTCCTTTTGGAGTCATCTTCTGAAGCCATTTTTGAATTAATACTGATAATCGGGCGACAACCGGTGCTTCGTTTACTTTCAGCGCTCGTTCTGGACTGTTCATCTCTTAGTTCAAATTATGTACACATAAACACATCGTTTGGTACTTATTTGAACGATGTTATTATACAAAGAATGTGGCACGTATACGCAAGAATTGTGATTGACCGAATATTTATGTCAACCTCTATTGACTTTTAAATTTAAACTTGAAGTTCATTATAATAAGTTGATATTCTTGGGAGTAAAAAATTACATTAATAAATTTCTCAGGGAATAATATTTCTTATCAATTCAACTACAAAAAATTTGAGCTCGTTTCATTAACTGCATGGCTCAATTTCTTATTCTGAACGGTGCGTGTAATACTTTTGTTGTATCAAGTGAAAAAAAAACAAAGACAAACCGGTAATTTTTCCTATTATTTACCAAGAAAAAAAAATTACTTTAAAAATTTATTGAATAGTAAGTTAAAAAGTACACTTTTTCTTCAAATGATTTGTGACAACTGTTACACTTGAAGGGTTTGCTACGATTATGTATTCTATTAATGTGACGTTTAAGGATAATTTTTTGTCTAAATGATTTTTGATCTCCCAATCTCCTACTCAAAGGGCTTACTCCGATGATGTACTGTGCTTATATGAGTTTCGTGGTGTTGTTTTGGTCCAAATGATTTGTGACAAATTTCACATTCCAAAGGTTTGTTGCGACCATGAACTGCATTTATGTGACGTTTTAATGTAGCTTTTTTTCTCTAAATGACTTTTGACAAATATTACATTCAAAGGGTTTACTCCGATTATAAACTGCACACATGTGACGCTTGAAGTTACCTTTCACTCCAAATGATTGCGACAAATCTCACATTCAAAGGGTTTGCTCTCATCATATCGTGTTTATGTGAGTTTTGAGGGTACTCTTTTGTCCAAATGATTCAAAACAAATATCACATCCAAAAGGTTTGTTACGATCATGTACTGTACGTGTGTGATTTTTTATGCTAATTTTGTATGTGAATGACTTGTGGCAAATTTTACATTCATATGATCAATGCCCTTATGTGTTGTTTTGTATATGTGTATTTAAACTCACTTCTCCATGCTATGTTTTCTGACACATATGGTACTCGTAAGGTAATTTGCTTTGAGTAGTTTTTTCAACGATTTCAACTTCTTTACACTCATCAAATTGAAATCGGGGATTTACTTGGAATGGACGATTATTATGATAATCTAAATCTTTTTTTATCAAAATCATTAAACTTTTTTCAACCATGTATCTGGTCTGGAATTCATTTTCTATTACTGGTGAATAATTCTGATGTTCAGTTTTGCAGATGATTGTTGATAAAGGCACTCGACATCTATGAATATATCTTCATCCAGCTTTTTCCTTAATGACATAACATCATTCATGTAGTATGCCTAAAATTAAAATGAAGTAATAGCTTTTGATAGTGAAAAATTAGAACATAATTCAAATAATTTAACTTAATGATGATTTATTAAACGGGAATAATTCGAAGTTTTTACCTTCGCAAGAGTCCACTAAATCGAAAATATAATCGTCGTCTTCATCTGGCCGATTATCGTTCAGTTCTTGTTTAACTCTGAAGAATAATCAAATCAAGTTTGATAAAGCAGTTGTTTGAAAAAATATCATGGTACGAATTAAAACTGCTATACCTATTGGTGTCCTCTGTGGTTTCCATAATACTGTCTTAATTTATATTTATTCACTTTAAATTTGCACGATTTTTGCTGAGAAAATATTCAAGTTTATACGCGTCGAGTAGCCAATACTGTACCTTGATTTTACCAATTTGTAAACCCTTGCTTACTCAAGGAAGCAAGGGGACTCTGTGACTGTGATAGCGCCTTAGCGATAATAACACCCTCTACCGTCGACTGGTCATACGCAGTTTTTTTCAGAGATAAATAAAGGGATTCGCATATCATCAAAACTAGATCGAAATTGCAATGAAAATATCATTCTTCCAGACGCACAATTAGAACTGCAGGTGGTAGTAAAAAAGTATAGCAGTCGCATTGATCATATCATAATCATATCTCAAATTTTTAAATTCCTGATATCGCGATCATACACGGTCATGATATGGCACACATCCTGAAAATGAAATAATTTCGTCATCTCTGAGCTATATGATGCTGCCCTGGAGAGCTGGGCAATAAAGTGCACTAAAAGGCGTTGATTTCTTTAAATCTTTCGAAACGATGCTCTTATCTTGATTAATCATTTATTACTTTTAAGTAGGACAACATCTTAATTCATAAGCATTTATTAATGAAAATAGAAATGATGATACTCTTAGTAAAAAGTAATGTGCCAATGCATTGGCAGCCGTTTGCGTGTAATAAAAAAGAAAAACTCGTGGACAAGTTCAAGTGCAGAGTACGCTGGAACGCGAATCATGTACCGAACGTAAAAAAAAAATTATAAAAAGAAAATCCGACCTCATAACTCCTCTCGATAAGAGTTACGAGCTCGGGCGCGCAGGTGTATCAATCGTTGAAAATATCATAACGATAACAACCGCAGCAACTTTTTTATGACGTTCTTAAAAAAAGGAAGGAGAGAGAGAGGCAGGCGGAAGGTAAATTTTATGCGCACCTTGGCGCGCGCGCGCGTGCTCTCGCAACATGTGCCGAATATACTCCCTTTTTATAAAGAATTTTGCCATTCAAAAAAAAAGGAAAAAAAATAGTAGAGCCAGCGCTGCGGTACACATTATTATGGCATTGTGCGTGACGTAAGTCCGGCGGTTCTTATCGAATACGCGTTTGGCGCGATAATTTGCAACGATCGTCGTCGTCGTCGTGCTGTATACACGATTGTATACAAGCTATTTATTCGATTCAGCGCGTTTAAGCCAGAAGCGTACGCGCGCACGACACAAACACGCGTGTACGCTGGGGGGGATCGCGCGTCGATTAATTAAAAATTAGTCAAGACATCGCCGCTCGATATTTTATAATCGATTTCGTTTCGCGTTTTTATTTCCCTTTGTCTCTTTCAGCCATGGCTCGCTCGTTATAACGTACCGCGGAGTTTCATTCTGTACTCTTATTTATTGACTCGGGGGAAAAAAAAGCAATTAAAGCTTCGTTATTACCATTTCGCAACGACGACGACGACAAAAAAAAACACATAAATAATCAAAGCTCGCGAGCGTTAATAGATAACAGAATGCGCGTCGATTATATCTCGCGAATGTACGAAGATACAAACGCCGCGCTTAATGCTGGAAATAAAGCGGGAATCAGTGCCAGCGCGGCTTCGCGGGTTAAGTTTCGAGCTTTCAAAGCGCGCACCACGAGATATACGCGCGCGCGTATAATATAACATGCACATCGTCTCTCTCTCTCTCTCTGCTCAGATCAGTATTACAGGGCTCGGTTGGTTTATGATTTAAATCCCCCCACGCGCGACCGAGCGCACGGCTTGTGTGTGGCTTGTGTGTGTATGTGCAGCAGCGCCAGAAACGCTCTATTATTATTGATGGTAATTAAGATAGATTTCACGTGTAACTGATTAAACGGATCGAGAGGTAAAACTGCGGCGGCGGCAGCGACGCGTCTATGTACAAACGAACAAAAGAGTGAGATAGAGAGCGAGAGACTCGACGTACGTGACAATATACGAATCTTTTCAAGCGTGCATTATAATTATATACTCTCGTTATAAATTTTATCGTGTTGATTTTTTATTTTGGTATACGAAATTAATAATACGTATACGTTGGAAAAATTGTGCGATCGCTGAGATCCTCGATTACGATCGCGTTGCGCGATCGATGAATTAAAACAAAAAATAAAAATTGTTGAATCACGTTAACAGCTCGCATCGACGAAAGAGGAGTTATTAATAATACACGTGGTGGCGTTCCTCGGCAGCGACGCGCGGGCCTCGATGCAGAATCGTGCGCGTGTGCAACCACACAAGTGCCAGTGCGTGAGAAAAAAAAGTGTTTACGAAGCACGAGTGACAAGTCGACGAGTTTTCATCGAGTGCCGTGAAGCTTTTTTGTGAGTGAAGTGAGAGCGTAGCGAGTAGTCATGACGCTCAAGGGCCAGTCCAAGAAAAAGAAGAAAAACAGCCAGGATAAGCGGAGCAGTAGAAATAAAAAAGCAGTGTCCTCGTCCTCGTCGGAGCCGGTCTCGGACGAAGTCTGCACCAGCGAAGATGCAGGTAAGATATCCAATTTTATTTTTAAAAAATTGCTCCACGACTAGAGACCGCGAGACGACGGAATATTTATGCCACGCGCGCGCTCGCATGCGGTGCAGCGCGGAAATGAACGGAACGCAAAAAAAAAACGACCGCTACAGTGGTCTATATAAGTGCGGCGCACGTGGCGGGGGCATGTGGTGCACGGACGGAGCGAAAAAGCTCTCGACGCGGCGATCGTTATCTTGGCGAGTAGCGGACGTTAGAGCGTATACGCATTTTTTTGTGTGTTTATTCGTTTTTGTCCATTTTTTTTTTTTTTTATAACTATAATCGATTTTTTTTGTGCCTCTGACTCGTACACGCCACAGCGTACTGTATAAATGGAGATCGTTTAACCGAGTCTAAAGATTCCGTGCGAGCGCGAGTTTATATTGGTTTATATTCGCAAAAATGCGCGTGCACGTATTATACAATTACGTAAACGATCGCGGCTCTCGCGCATCTCGAACTCGCGCGCGTGAATCTAAAATCAAATCTTCGTACCGTACTACAGCAAACGATCTTTGAAAAATTACAGATTTGGCCGCTGCCGTTGCTGCTGTTGTCGTTAGCGACGCGGAGCCGAAGCAGGAAGAGGGGCAAGAGGAGGAGGAAAACATCAAAGCCGAAGCCGAGGCGCCACCGCCACCGCGTCTCGAGCGCCGTAGCTCGCTGCGCCGCAAGCTCGGAGCGCTGATAAAAGCGAGCGCGGACTTGCCCGCGGCGATCAATCGCGGCCTGCAGCCCATCCGACGGAGCATGAGCTTCGGCAAGGATCTCGACAAGAAGCCGCCGAAGCAGCACAGTGATGGTAGCAGCAGTCACAAAGCCAAAGTCTCAGCGACGTCGTCGTCGTCGTCGTCGTCGTTGCTGTCAGTAGCGCAGCAGCCTCAGCTGCAAGCACAGACGCAGCCACAGCTACAACAACACGCTCATAATAGAGCTCGCTCGATGCTCTGGTATCACAGTCTGAGCTCGTTAGTCGAGCACAATAACGAAGGATTGGCATGCTCCGAGGACTATGACGACGACGCGTCATACGTCTTTTACGAGGACGCGAAAACTGCCGCCACTGAAAAGAATGTAAGACGCGGACTACCACTACTAATTTTTTTTTTTTGGCTCTGCGTTGCAATTATCCGACGAGGGAGCTGGAAGTTTTTTAGGGCAACGCGATTTAATGAAGATGCGATCGCGTTTCTTAATCAGAGAGCCGTTGACCTTTTTATACCTTTACCTTGTTTTTATTGCTCAATTAGGAGACTTTTCGTACGCGACGAAAAAAGTAATCAACGTATACTCGAATTTGATTTTAATCACGCCACTTTACGTACAAAATGCTCGATTGAATCTCTCTCTCTCTCTCCGTTGTTCGCGATCGCTTGGCAGGGCACGGGGAACTTTTCGACATTTCCAAATGCCTCGGCCGATTAAGATCTCTCGAAAACAATGGGTCGATTTATACGAAAGTCTCCCGAACTATATTAACGAAATCGGAGATGATTATAATCGCATCAGCTGCTGCGCGGTACGAGTTCGCCCTTATATATAAGCAAAATTTCTATCGATAAGTTATTACCACGAACCGAAGAAATGTAGAGAATTTAATAAATCTCGAAATCCCTTATATGCGGGTAAAAAGATATCGAACTTTCTTAATTTCCATCGAATATATATATATTGTAAGCTCTATTTTTTGTCCCGCTTTTCTTTTTGCCCCTTCTCCTGTGGCGGTGTGTCTCAATCATCCAGCCGCTACCGCGACTCTATGTACTCGCGCGGTCCCTCTTCGGCTTACCTATATCTTCGTCTCGCTCGGATGCATTGAACCCCCCGCATCGCAGACACACACACATACACCCAGCGACGGGTACTTATATATAAGGAGTTTTCAAACTCGATAAATCTCTTGAAATATTTCTTCGCGGCGCATCGCATAGAGATGAAGAAGAGATGGAAAGAAAGGATAGCGGGTACGGGTGCGAGGGTCGACGTATATAGTTCTTCGCGCTGGGTATTAATTTTATTCGCGACTCGCGAAATCTTTCACTTTCCAATGACGCTCAGCCGATTTCATGCCTCGTCGAACGATAAAGAATTAAAAAAAAAAAAAAAATCATCAGAAGCGATTAAAAAATCGTCTCTAATGTGATTAACGACGAGCTCGAGCAATTTATATATACGTATCAGCGGCACCATAGCACCAGCACCAGCTGCTGCTGTCCCCTCGTGCATCCGCGGCACTATCGCTCGCGCGCCCGGAGAGCGGAAGCGATGAAATTTTCGCTGTAATCGCGTGTAAAGCTCGATACGCGCGCGAGCTTGCAAGCTCTAGCGAGCGAAGAAGATCGAATTATGCACTATACGCTGCGTGCGTGCATGTGCTCGTGCCGCTGCTGCCGTTGCCGAACTTTCACCTAACTCTCTCTCTCTCTCTCTCTCTCTGCCGAGAGTGCATGTACGTGCATGTATGTATTCGTGTGCGCGCTTTGCACGTGTGCATGTGTATAGATATATATAGTGGCCGCGTGTAAATGCGCGTCGGCGAGTGGGAGGTAAGCTTTAACCTAGTGGTTAATTAAATATCGACCTGGTTTTCGTCGACTCTGCGGTAATGCGCCACGGCGCTACATGCACTGTAACGTTTACAGAGTGTATAGAATATTATATACCTGTACAGTCACACGCGCGTGATATATATACGCCCTTGTAATGCCTGCCGTACAGCTCCGCTATGCGATAATTTTTCTTTTATTTTTAATTTTTTTATCCTTCAGGATAGCTCGTGGTTGTGGCGCTCTTTGACGAACAAGCACACAGGCGGGCGGGCTTTCACAAATCGAACGAAGAGCAAAAGTTGCGATATAAGATATTTTATGTAATACGCTCCGAGTGGTTCTTGCGCTCCTTTTATGCCGTCCGGCTACCTGGCTGGAGATCATTAATTAATGTTCGTCGTATACGACATTTGTAAACAATTTCTTTTCGCATTTACTTTTAATTACAAGCGCCCCGCCATTGAGAGATACAGTTTTTCCTTTACAAAATTGAAAATAATTTTCGAATCGTAGATGTAATCAATTCGCTCGCCGTATCCGCATCTCCGCACGCCCTTGAGATTGAAAAGTTTCGAAATGAAAAAAAAAAAGGAAAATCCTTTTCGTTTCCTGATTATAAATTTCGTCATTTTATTCATTAAATATTTTGTTAACAGCTTTTAATAAACCCGGTATAATCATTACTTTTAATCACTGGTAATTCGAGCTTGCGGGGGGGCTCGGGAGCTTAATGCAGATTTCAATTCGCGCAAGAGAGAGAGAGAGAGAGAGCGACGCGGAGGACCATAAAATATGTACTCGGTGATGAGAGTTGCGCTGAAGAGATTGAAAAAGTAATTACACGAAACGAGATTATTTCGAGGCGAAGCAGTAAGAATACAGTATCTATTACACCCTTCCTTCACAACATATATTTTTTATTTTTATTTTTCTCTTCTGCGATGATCCGCGGTATTTAGGCTGCAGAACTCTTTCATTAATATTTTCATCAACATCGATGGATAAACCATTTTGGATAATTTCGAATTTCATAACTCAAATTTTGTTTCATTTCAAATCCGTAACATTGCGAGCGATAAGCCGAACTTATTATTTTTTTTATCTCGAAAATTGTATTCTTGAGTCCCTCTTTCTTGCTCACGTCCCTTCGCCTTTTTTTATTTTTTAAGCGAGACACTATATTTTTATTTCTTGCTCGCTTTGCGCGCGGATAGAAGTAGTAGTAGCATTATCATGGCGTGACTTTTTCACTCGCAGTGCAGCGGAATAAGCCTGATAAGCGTCATCAAAAAATGTTTATACCGCGAATTAAAATTGTTTCTCTCTCTCTCACGAGTGTATATAAGATTTATATTTCAACGTCCCTCTTGCTTCCCGAAACTGGTTGTTGGCCGATTGTTAAAATGCCCGAGATGTAGTCGTGTCAGCTCGAAAGTCCCTGTTATAAATATATATACGAGGCAGCGGCGTCTCTATGCGAGTATAGCACAAGCTCGCCTTTTCACGAGAGAGATAAAGGAAACGCGCGCACGTCCTGTCTTTTTCTCTCGTTCTCTCACTCACCGTTATACATCTCGAGGAAAAGCTAAGCACAAAAAAATTGCGCGAGAAAAATGGATTAAAGTGTCTTCTTTGTGGATTAAGCGAGAGAGAGTGAGTGAGAGAAGACGCGCGTAGTGCGACCGAAAGATATCATTAATTTCTTCGAGAGAAAAATATAGCTGCAGAGAATTTTCATCCCTCCTCCTCCTCCCACTGGTGCAGCTATTTATATTGCAAAAGTATATATTTTTATATCCACTCGAGCGAAGAAAGAATTAAAAAAAAAAACTTACTCTTGTACTTGCGAATATTTCCTGTACCCGAAATTTCTAATCAAAGAGAGGAAGGATATAGAGTAAGAGAGAGTTAGAGGCTGACGTATACAAATACGCTCCGTGTGTATCGAACTTGGTCTATTGAAATCTGCAATTCGCATAGCCCCGGCGCCGCCGCTATACGCGCGCCTTCTGCTGCTCGTGGCATGATTTAGGTTAGACGTAAAATGAACATTTAGATATAGGTTTGTGACATGTACACCCCGCGCGAGCTGGCGCATTTGCGTATACAAATATCCGTATATATACCTCGTTGGTATATATGGGGCAAATTTCCTGAAGTGTCCTAGCGCTCTGCCGCACGGCATTTTTTGGCCGAATCACTCAATTTCTAACTCGCTGTAAAAGTATCAAAACGCCCCTAAAAAAAATAACTAACTAATGATTTCGATAGGAAATTTTCTCAGCTTTCCGATGGTGAGGTCCAATTTCCTGGAATTTTCCATTTTCACCCGGAAAATTGTCATTAAACATTCAGAGCTCAATATCTCGAAAAACGCCACTTTTTTTGCTTTTTTTATTGTTTCAATCGAAAGATGAGGTCTTTTTACATCGGATATGGTAGTTTTCAGAGTGTATTTTTGATAAAAACTAAGGAAAATATGGGAGGTTTCAGTTAGCGCTCGGCCGCTCGGCGTGATTTCCAGCCTTGCGCGGCTCGCTGTAACATGTAACTCGCTCTTATGAGATAGTGATTTGGCTGGAAAAATAAATAAACATATGTTTTCTATAGGAAATTTTTTCAGCTTTCTCATGGTGCAGTCAGATTTTCCGATAATTTACATTTTCACTAGAAAAAGTAGAAAATAAACCTTCAAGTCCATTTTTTCTGGTGAAAATGAAAATTATTGGAAAATCCAACTACACCATGAAAAAGCTGAAAAAATTTCCTATCGAAAACATGTGTTCGTTTATTTTTCCAGCCAAATCACTATCTCATAAGAGCGAGTTACATGTTACAGCGAGCCGCGCAAGGCTGGAAATCACGCCGAGCGGCCGAGCGCTAACTGAAACCTCCCATATTTTCCTTAGTTTTTATCAAAAATACACTCTGAAAACTACCATATCCGATGTAAAAAGACCTCATCTTTCGATTGAAACAATAAAAAACGCAAAAAAAGTGGCGTTTTTCGAGATATTCGAGTTTGAATGTTTACTTGCATTTTCCGAGGTGAAAATGGAAGATTCCGGAAAATCGGACCTCACCATCAGAAAGCTGAGAAAATTTCCTATCAAAATCATTAGTTAGTTTTTTTTTTGAGGGGCGTTTTGATACTTTTACAGCGAGTTAGAAATTGAGTGATTCGGCCAAAAAATGCCGTGCGGCAGAGCGCTAGGACACTTCAGGAAATTTGCCCCATATGTATATTCTCATTCGCGACGCATACACGTGGTATACCCGCACACATAAACACACGTATATACGCAGGTACACACACACACGCGAAAATTCCTAACTCGTATTCGAACTAGGCAGGCAGGCGGGCGGCCGAGGGGGGGGAGCGCATATCTTGGCTACATTGAAATTTTGGTATTTCAATTTCCTTCGAATTATCCACGCGAGTTCGCGTATATGTCAACCTCGAGTATATAGCGGTTCGCGTATATGTATAGAGAGAGAAGCCGCTAGTATAGCAGGCAAGAATTTCCAGCCGAGAGCTTATGCAGCGAATCGCGTTGACATTGATAATTATTAGCCGGCTCTCGCACATTTCATCGTGGCTGCAGAGCTCCGACTTGCACTTATGTACATACACATATCTGCGCCCATACACTCGTTTTGTGTATATATCGCTGTAAAAGCTCGAGATATTTTTGGGTGGGTTGGCTGGCTGTATATATACGATTGATTCACAAACTCTCGCGGGTTATTAAATCGAGCCGATTATGTAATTCGAAAATGAAATTCCCGCGCGTACGCGAATCGCATCGCGCGCAGTCGGATATCCAACGAATCGATAATGAGCCGATTACGTTTAATTATGCTAGCGCGCGGGGGGGCTGATATCGTGTGCGTGTGCGCGCAATTTACGCGCGCGAATTAGTGAGATAATTTTGCTCTCTCTCTTTCCGTCGATCAATGCGTATACATATTGTATAAACGTGTACAAGTGTACGCGGTGCCGCAGCGCAATTACGTGGCTTTCTGCGGGGAAAATGTGTTTCGTCTTTTCATTCTTCGTGCGCCAGAGAGATGCGGGAAAAAAAAATATATATAAAAATTGCTGATCCTCGACGCGTCGGATCGAGCTTTTCCCGACGAGACAAGTTCGACACCTGCTACTGCTGCTGCTGCCGCGTACGTTACTCTTTCTCTCTGCCTCTTGCTCTTCTCTCTCTCTCTCTCTCTCTCTCTCTCTCTCTTTCTCTCTCTCTCCGAGACACGTGCGACGTGATAATAATGCCCGAAATCCTCGAGTCCTCGATCTCGCTCGTATATCACAAGCGCAAAAGTCAAGCGCGCGAATCGTTGCTCGACAGTTTCGCGCGCGCGCGCGCTGATTGGGAGATTGAATTTTTATTGTATTTTTTCTTTTTTTCATTTCGTTCGAATTCGATGCAAGCTCGAGATAGAGAGAGAGACGAGATTTACCCGCCTCGTTTAACGTATACAAATAGCATAATTTACTCTGCGTGTGCGCATTATAATCACGAGCTCGTATAATTGTAGTAGAGATAATCGAGGGGGGTATAGAGGGAGAGTGGGAAAATTTTGCAGCGCAAGCTAAACTAGCAGCAATAGTAGCAGCAGCAGCGGCAGCAGTTCCTGTTACAGGAGAGACCCAGATATATACAGTTTCCCTCGGAGATAAGCGCGCGCCAAGTCCTTACCTGTATCTCTCGCCATGTATATATCTGCTCTATACCTATCCGAACTGTCTGGCAGTTAATGCAGCTGCTGCCGGGCAGGATGTCTCTTCTGTATATACGTATGTATATAAATGCAAGCTTCGAGCACTCTCGCGTGTGTGCGCCTTGCCTCATCTATACCTGCGAGCTATATAAAGACACAAGAGAGAGGGAGAGAGAAACAGATGGACATGGAGGGTAAATCGAACTCTACGTACGTACGTACGTACGTACGAACACGGGGATGGCAATACGGAAATACTCGATGTTGTTTAACGCTCCTCCGAGCGCGTACATAATGCAACAGTCATTTGCATTTATACGTACTCTCCGCTCCGAGTCCTGGGCAGTCGCGTGCCTCGTGCTACATAACTACTACTGTACTATAGCTACAGCTGCCCCCAGGACGACGAATATCTCTGCCCGACGCCTCAGCTGCGCCACGTTATAGCGCGGGGACTGCACGAGGCGCACACTTATACGCGTGTTTGCGCCGCCGCCGCGCGCGAGTCGTATTGTTTCGTTCGAATTTCCACAACGCTTATACATGTATGCGTACGTGTGTATGCGAGTTGAAGAGAACGTATTGATTTCGCAGTGACACGATGATGAATGAGACTTTAATTATTCGTAGCTTCCCGCGGCTTCTCTCGCTCTGCGTGCAGCACTAAGTTTTCGGATGTGTGCGCGAGTGTACGTGTGCAATGCTCTCGATGAAATGCTCGACACAATCAAACACATACGCATCCACATTGTAACAGCTCGAGCTGCGCCGGATAATCAGGGAATTTGCTCGCAGATCGGGAAAAAGGAGATGTGTATTCCTCTGCTGCTTCACGACTGTCACACTCGCTCGGCGTTTTACTCCATTATATGTACATTACGAGAATAGCTAAGCTAGAGCTCCGTGTAACGCATTTCGCACAAAGTTGAAACGCTCCGAGACATTAACGTTGTCTCGGGGAAGAAACACACAGGAGTATTAACCCGCCGCCGTTGTTGTCGCGCGCGATCGACGACAAAATAATTTACGGAAATTAAACGGCGGAGAATGGTTGAGATGAAAATTGACACGACGTTACCGGTGATAGAAATAATAGCGGAAAATAGAGAGCGACAGGATGAAAATAATCGCCATGTTTTTGAGCTTTTCGCGCGGATTTGTTCGCCCAATTTCCAAGCTAAATATACCAATTCAATCGAGGATCTGGTGCCGACAATTTAGGAAAATTGACGTAATTGACAGCATAATTGACGAAGTGTTGATAGTAGCTATTCATCGAAATGCTTCCGATTGATAACTCACGAGTGCTTGTGCGCTATTTTGACTATGCCTGTCGAATTTACCTTATTGCCCTTTCTTTTGTTGAGGAGTTTTACACTTCGTACATGACAATGTGTACAAACGAGTCATGTATGTTTACAAGACATAAATTACGAGTTTTTTATCATAATTGCTTATTACATCAATGCGTTACGTAAATTAATCACTTACTTCGACCGAATAATTTGAATGACAACGAATTGTATGCATCTTGATAAAATCAAACTTCATTTAACATAACTATTATCATTATGATATTGACCTTATGTGCTTCAAAGATGCGTATTTTAAAATATAAAAATCATTATTGAACCATCTTTATCTGACCTCTTTCATTCGATACATTATTGGATATAAATTCAAATTCTTGCTCAACCATATGGAAGTCCACAAAATGTTATTCTATTTCACTTTCAATGCTCGGTTTGCCATGATATCATGCGAACTTTAGAGCAATCGTTTTATCGTAAAATTAACCACAGCAAAGCTATAGGAAATCCATCTGCTTGAAGGTGAATTGATTTTATTCAAATTTTATTACTGAAATAGATTTTTACCGTTCAGTGTCTGATATTGAAAACATAAAAAAAAATTTAATTGGATTTGGTTTTCTGATAACTGTTGTTGCTCTTCTATATACCGGACATTCTGTAAACTAATCACAGATAAGAAACGGGGTTAGACTTATACAATCATTTTCACTTTGCCACTTGCAGATTAGAAAAATAGATACTCGCCATCTAGCGGCCGAGATTAGCTTTAATCATCATATAATTTTCACAAAGTTTCTATCAATGAACGCCAAATATAAATTAGTATTAAATCCTATATTTTTAATAAAAATTGTAAATATTTTAGTAATAATTAGTTATTTTTGCTTCATTATGTGCAATTTATGTAAATAAGTCGGTACTGATACATTAATTTCATGTAAAAGTATCTTGAATAAAACTCAATATCGGTTATTTTAATTTCAATTATTTTTAAATTTCCTTTCTAAAATCCTACAAAAAAAATTTTAAATCATTATTATTGGATCTTTCAAAAAAACACTTCATAAAATCATACTACATATAAATCGATACGGTACGTAGTACATTCATAAAATCTTATGAATAACTAAAATAAAATGAAATTTTAATAAAATCTAAATAAAATTATGATAATTGAATTATAGAAAATATTAGAAAGTATAAATGAAAAATTCTGCGACGGTTAAACAAATATCTTATATGTACACTTGAAATAAATTAATTTTTAAAATTTTTTGAATATAAACACAACTTTTTCATGTGCTGTCTATAAGCAGACGATTTTTCGTATAAATATGCGCCCTTTTGTTGAATACGACGAATAGTATTTTTTGCAATTTCACGTTTCAGATCTATCATTTGATTCGTGAACTACGAAACATATATTCTTGAGCGTAGATTTCGTAAAGTTTCTTTTTTTGATGCATCCCCAAAACGAAACTTCTCTAGTGATCATTTATAGATGGCACCAATATTTGAGTTTGATTTATGACATGAACGATAACTTTTTTTACGTCGAAACAATTTTTCAAAAATTTTTCTCTCGTTTCAGGAGTCAGTTGTTCGAAGACGGCCACACTCTGTTTATGAAATCCCCTTCACGCGTCACAGCGATCATTATGACTCTTCTATAGGTAAAAAATACATCATTAATTTTTGCATTCTACTCATTACTATTAGCGATACATACAGCTCATTGATATTACAAAACAAAAACCTTGAGTAATTTCAAAGATATTACGAAATCTCGTTATGATGATTATTTTTTTGTCTCCGTTATGACTCGTTGCAAAGCTAGCTCGAACGAACGTCCGATTTAACGATATTCCTTTGTTAATGAGACCAGTGGTTGGTTGCGATGCAATTTATATCTGCAAGACCCTCTGGACAGACAATGTAATAGGACAAAGACCTTCTATTTATTTATACCATCGAGCTTGCGTTACATTCTTCGTTAATCCAGGGTTGCTTGTTTATTTCGTTCGCGAATTTTTCGTCATTTTAGCCGTCTTTTTACTCAGCACTTAGCGCTAGAAGCGCTTCAGTGCGACAACAGTCAGACAAATGTAGGAAAAGGAACGTTGTATAAACACACCGCGACCGAGATTTTCTTAGCCGAAGGATTGCACTGCGACATTTACAATCGTAAAGCTCGAATTGAGCAGATTATGCGATTGTAATTATACGAATGGCGCTCTGTAAGAAGTACGAAAAGCAAAGCGAATAGAAAAAAGGGAATAATTTGTTTTGTACAAGCAATCTCGTTAATCTTTTTAATAGCTTGAGCGAGGAAAAAAAGTTTCACGAGCGGCGGAAAAAGAGTTTTGAATTAAAATTCTTTGAATCGTATTTGAAAGGGACCTTTTTCACGCGAATATGTTGAGGTTTCATAATTTTGACCCGTGTGAAATATTTCGAGATCAGAATTTTGATGGTGTTGCTTTATAATTATTAACGGACTGAATTTTCGTTACAGTGTAATCAAAATGCTAATGAAATAATTTACGTTTATTTTATTTACAGATTTAAGTAGGCCTCCGTGCGAGGCCATCAGTCTTCCTGTTCTCACTGATGAGATTGATGGAAATGAAAATGATCAGTCTGCTAAAAGGTAATAGTATTTTTTGAAATAAATTCTATAAAAGGGAAAGAAAAACAACAAGAACTATTAAAAAGTAACAGTAACCATAGACTGGTTTGTTTAAAATCGGTGGAAATTTAATACGTAAGAGTTCTTTTTATAGAGTAAATAAGTGATTTACGAAAGTCATTTATTCGTATTGTTGTCATTAAATAAGACTTTAAAAGAAAATAGATTTTTTCCATCAATTTACCCTTGATTGAAATGTGTAATAGGTGTAAAATCCATTCTTACCTTTACTTTATTCGAAAGAGCTTTTAAAAGCTTTTTTTAGAATTATCTTCCGATTAATTGAAACATAATATTTCAATTGAAATACAAATCTCCAGATATCCAAATATTCTCCTGTAGACATTTCGAATTTGATTGGCGGTTGGTATAGATAAAAAAAAACATTGAAGAATTACCATTTCAATTGAATTGTTATCAAAATAAGGTCTCCTGAAGTTTTATTTGACATATGTTTATTATATCAGATAACATTTGCAGCAGGTATGTGCATAAATATTTGCCGAACGTAATTTATTGGGACTTCGAGACCTAATTCACATTGGTCCTTGACATTTAAAATCATATGTTATAATTGCAATCTTGCTAAAAAAACTGTTTAAATAATAATAAAAGAATAAAATGATTATTTCCCGAAAAATCATACATTCAAAGATAGCTTGATATTTTACATTGAAATGATCGCTAAATAAAAATATATTTAATTTAAATTATTTATTAATTAAATTAATAATCAATAATCAAGCTTACATTAGATCAATAATTTATATGAACCATGGAAATTAGTACAACACGAAACTTTACGTGAATGAGTGCTGAGAGAGTACTCGGTGCCGACCATTAATCATACAATATCAAATTTATTTTTTAGGCAACCCAATCATTTCTTGAATTGTCCCTTTAATGATCATGTCTTATTTTATGATCATACATTTTACCGTCAAATTAATATCTGACTACCGCCAAGATTCGGTAAATAAATGTTTAAGTATTTAATTGATTTATTATAAGCATGGCAAATGACACAGAACCTGAGTCTCTGGTATTTATCTGTTAATTTTACAAATTGACAAAAAAAAGTTTTTAAATTATTTCAGCGGAACTGATCATTCACTGATTGAGTGATCCAAATCCCATTGCACAAAGTTGAGTGCATGTGCTCTTGATTGATATATTGTCGCCCAATAAAAAAGCGCGTCATGCAACTTCGCTTTTTTTTCTTTAATTTTTTTTTTATTAATTTCCCTGTTTAAGTATATGTACCCAGCTGAATTAGATCTGAATTTATTCAATTTCGCTTCGCGTTTTGATTAATTGAGGAGCGAAACTTTATCAGTGTGTACTTACGGAGATTTTGCGGCGACGGCTTCGCGTATAAAAGTGCGTGCGCTTCGACTTGGAGACCAGTTGAGTCTTCGTGCAGTTCCAACGACAATAATGAACTTCAAGAGCTGTCTCGTTTCGCTGTGTCTCGCGGCACTGCTCTGCGGTGCGTCCGCGAGACCAGGACAAGGTATGCCTAATTGAAAAAAAAAAAAATTCGAAGTACTAGCGTCTACTCGCCGCGAAGTGATATTCATTTTTTACACTGTTTTCTTCCTGTACAGGAGTTCTGGGTGTCAGCAAGTCGATCTCCGGTAACGTGTTGATCAAGCTCTCTCCACCAGTGCCAAACAAGTTGGTCGGCCTTCCTCTGTCGCGCAGAGTCTGCCTCATTCGCGGCAATGTCCTCGTGTCCGGCAACGGACCCGTCGTCTCGGAGGCTGCCCTCGCCGCCCTGAACCTGGCCGAGAGCACCTGGCAGGTCGCCGAGGTCGAATCGACCCAGACCCTGCTCGTGGTCGGCAACTTGCTTCTCAACGGTCTCGGCCCGGTCGGTGTCAATACCCTGGTGCTGACCAACGGCGCCTTGAGGAAGGTCATCATCCCTGGCCGCGCACCCGTCTTGGTCTACGGTCAAATCTTGATCCTCGGCAACGGAGTCGCCAAGGACAACCTCGCACCACTGGCTCAGGGACATCCTTGGGGACCGGGTCCAGTTGTCGAGGCACCCGCCGAAGGCATCTCTCCCAACCAACTCGACGCCCTTCTCGGCCAGGTCCTGAAGCCCAGCGACGTAGCCCAGAACCAAGCCGGAGCCCACGGTCAAGCCCAGGGTCCCCGCCCAGCTGCTCCTGCCCAGAAAGCCCCTGGCCAAGGTCACGTCGAAGGCAAACCCGTGGTGTCCAACGCCCAAGCCAAGGGCGTCGCCGGTGACAACAGCAAGGCCCAGGCCAACTCCGCCGCGGCCGCCAAGGGCGGCAACAACGCCGACGTCCAGGCCAAGGCAGGCAGCGACGCCAAAGCCGGAGCCGGTAGCGTGTCCAACGCCAACGCCGACAGCCAGGCCAAGACCGGCAACAACGGCAAGGCCGACAGCGAGTCCGCCGCCAAGGCACAGGCCGGCGACAACGGCGCCGCCAACTCCAAGGCCAAGTCCCAAGCCCAGGCCGGTAAGAACGGCGTGGCCGACTCCGACGCCACGTCCATCTCGCTCGTCGGCGTCAACGGCTCCGCCACCTCCGACGCCAACGCCAAGGCCCAGGCCGGCGACAACAGCCAGGTCAACGCCAACGCCGTCGCCGTGGCTGCCGCCGCTTAGACTCGTGCCTGCTTCGGGCCCGACGAATGTTGTGTAAAAATTTGTGATACGTTACTCTGTGATTGTCGTGTTAAAAAACAAAGCAAAAAAAAAACGCAACGAAGAAAAATGTCTGACTTTTTGTAAATGTTAAGTTTTAGTCCACAAATAAACGTTCGAAAGGACAATTAACTTGAAAATAAAAAATAGTTGTTATTCCACTGTTCCTTTCCTGGTAGAAATGTTCAACACTTTATGACTCATTTTTGGACAACTAAAAAGTGTCTTGGGCTTGAAAGGGTCGTTAAAACAGGACACATACTAAAAAAACGAGTATTCCCACATTTTTCCCTTCCTTCCTTCTATCGTTTCAAGTTTTTTTAAAGATTTTGTGCTTCGATGCGGATAAAATAGACGATTTTAAAACCATGCCTCTTATACAGTTATTGTTACCTTGCCACTTGCAGATTTTCTCTGTCAACGGAACTCGCCATCTAGTGGTGGTAGCTCAAAGTGTTTGTTTGTATCAAAATGAACTGGTTTAAATTTTTTAAAATAATTGAGGGCAATCAATATTTTGAACTTGATTGAATTAACAAAATCGCCTAAATGATTAAAAATTATATTTGAAAACATTTAAAGCGGTCACTTCTTGGTCATTAACACATTAGCGCATATGTTGATTATTTTTACCAGAGTTGTGGTGAGTGATAATCTCGTGAAAGAATTCCATAAACCCTTGTAATCTCGATCCACCATAGTAAATTCCCTTCTAATAATGAAATACGAAACAACGAACTGTAAGCAACGACTTATCAGATATTAACAAGGCACCTCCCGGGTACATCGCAAGCAGCGGTTGTCTTTTGTGGCCTGTCTTAGCTGCGACCAACGCGTGTCTCTGTCTCTACAATGCATCTCTGGCCGCGAGACTAATGAGATTCCACCTTCTTTCAGATGTAAATTGAACCCGAGACTCTGCGCGAGCCGCAGCGGCAAGACGACGCTCTAAGGACGCGGCGGTCCTTTTCTTGGCATTAAAATTGTATACGCGCAAGAAGATATTTCGCCTAAAATTTCATCTCGACCGCGAGCTCGCCCCCGTCCACCTCTTTCGCCCTAAAACATCAAGAATTGCAGATGAGAGAGACGCGCATAAAGTTCAATGAGACGCGATGTATATTTATATGCGTTTCGAGAGAGTCGACCTAAAATCCCTTTTATACGAAATATCCTATTGTTTTGCAGTTTCATCTATCATTTTCGTTTTTATTTATCCGCGATGCTGTATATCTAGTTTCACTACCTGTATATAAACGCCGGGCAGCAGCAGCAGCAACAGCAAACCAACCAGCCAACCATCCAACCCCGTGCGCGCGCCGGAAAATCTCGGCAGCGATAAATTTTCCGACAACTCGAAAATACCTTCGCGTAAAACACGAGCCGCGCGTTGTATGTATATATACCTACACAGGCATGCCAAGCCACGTAAATATATCCAGTCTCTCTATCTCTCTGTCTCACTTTGCGGTTAATTACAGCACATTGTCCCGTCGCTCGCGCGCACCGGATTGATGTCAGCTCTGGTATCAGTCATGCCTTGTCCCTCTCGGATTGCACTAAAAGCAACGTTTACCTGCCGCTGCGCAGCTGTGTGTATATGTACGTCCATCTCTCTCTCTCTCTCGCTATCCACTGCCAACCGTAGTGGTATTACCTTATACCGTGTCCGGTCTATGGAGTTATATATAATATAAAAGCGCGCCGCGCGCTTGAATATATCCCAACCCCATATACGTATACCTTATACACTTTCGCCCTCGGTCTCTCTCTGTCTTCGAAGCGGGTGATTTGTTCGAATTTCCCGAGGAGGCCGCGATATAATACCATTGACTCTCTCAGCAGAAGCAGCGGCGCGACGTTATTTATTATACAGGCCGGACGAGACACAATGAAGGAGAAAAATCGAGTCCTGCGTCGTTAACTCGCGCTCGCGCACGGGGGCAATTTCGAGCGGACGTTTGTCCTCGATATCAGCGGCGTGCGTACGGATTTAAATCGATTCAACAAAATAGAGAGTAAATAAATAAGACAAGATCGAGGGTCGAGTGGATATTTATTTACGCAATTAGCCCAGAGGTGCTGCGGCTCGCGCTAATGCCCCGCGCACAGTGGACAAAACTGCTTATCGGCGGAAGAAGCTTAAAACGAAGCACGTCGATGATGAATAATTGCAAAAGTTTTAATTGCTCCTGTAATTTAGGATAAGCGTCTTATTATTTTTTTTTCTTGTATCGTATCGAGAGAGCTGGATGCAACAATCGAAGGGACTTATTAATGATTGCGTAGATGCACGCGCGAGTGACTCGTACATTACGACTCGTGTAACTACTGTGTATACGTACTGTGCGAGCAGCGTGACAAATTAAAAACAAACACAGCAGGACAGCGTCACTTTCGACGATTGGGATATTTCAAGAGAGTACTTTAATGAGCAAATATACAATGTAACGACTGAACTGCGACGAAATTTCGCCCTTGGTTTTATTTAATCTCCGGCGAAGCAATAATAACAACAACAATAATAATAATTAAGATAATATAATACGAGGAGCACAATTTTGCTTCCAGCTCCAGCATCTCCGAGCTTCTTTACAATTTCTAGGATATGCGCGTCCCAGCTCCGCTCAACAATCTAAGAATATGAAATAATAATTCGCATTCGCATAATGTATACTTTAATAATATATATCCTTTAATTAATTGCAGTCACAGATGGATGGAGCAACAGGTCAAGAATGGCAGTAGGGACAACTTGAGCGGGAGCACTCGAAATCTCTCCGTGTTACGCGGCTTTGGCTTCAAGAGCAAAAAGCGCAATGACAGTGTGTCGGTGAGTCGTTTTTTCGCTTTGTTCGTATTGTGTACCTACCCGTTTTTGAATACGATTCAGCCTCTTTTGCCTCGATATAATATCTTCGAGGATTCATTCGACGACGTATTGTTTCGTTGGAAAAGTCCCGCTGCTCGGTAGGATTTTATAAATATTTTGGTATATACGAATTTCTCGACGAATTATTATTGAGCCACGTGACATAAACCCAAGCGACTTTCGGTCTATTATTATTTCGAGAGATATATTATATCGTGCAATATTATACATCGCAATTCCTTGGGCAACTTTGCTAAGTTTCATTTGAATGATTCATTAGCCGCGGCGCGAGCGCGAGCTTATATATAGAGAATTGTCAAAGTTCACCAAACTGATTTTCCAACGTTATTCGTCTGCGCGCGAGGAGAGGTAGGATTCGCGCGGGCGGCTATATTATACAATATATATACGTATATATATAAGATCGCTGAATGAAAGGAAAGCTTTCCTCGGACAATCGAACTTATATTGCTTAATTGAATTTCAAAATTGATGACGCTCCGAGAACGCTCCGTCTCTGTGTCGCAAAACTCGCTGAGAGAAGGTGTCTCGCGTCGAGATATTACAATTTACTTGTAACTATTTTTCCCTCAACTTTTTGTTTTTACACGAGTACGAAATGTATATTTATACAACACTTGGCACAAATCCGTGCATATGCACGTAAGAACAGCGATAAAAAGGTGGATACCAATTTTTTTCCTTGTCTTCGAAATACATGGATTATCGTGACGTGTTTCCGATCCAATACCACCCTATCTACGCGTAAATATTTGTACGGTCCGCGTGTACTCATCGTAATATTGTATCGGTTCTCGACGAAAACCTATGCGAAAAACTGCAAAAAAAAAAAAAAATTGAAAATACAATGACGTCATCCTTGTTTGTACTAGTAAGTTCAATTGCCTTTTTTCACTCTCTCGTCGTTGCTACTCTCGCCTTTTTACAAAGTATAAAGGTCTTACATACGCTATAGCTCGTACTTACACTCGCTCGCGCGTAAGAAAATCTTTCGAGTGAATTTACATCGCGAGAGAATATTCGCAAAACGTATTTCAACGACACGAGCAAAAACTCGTTCTCTCTCGCTACTCCTCTCTGCTCCCTCTCGCTGTGAAATGGCGAAAATTGAAATTTAAAAGGGTACGTATATGTTCGAGCATGTGTGTGTGTGAATGAAATGGGTACTTTGTTACAGTCTTGATATATGCGTTAGTTATATATAAAGTCAGCTAGCAGAATTCGCTACTTTAATTTTCATCCGCAAGACCTGACCTGAAAAACAACCAGCCCGGTAAAAAGAGACGTACACCGGCAAAAATGAAGAAAAAATAACCGAAGTTGAGTAAAAATACCCAATTACATGAAGGACGCTTTTCAGCTATATCGTATGCATCTGTGTGTACACGGAGTCTTGAGTAGATAAACAAAGGTAAAAAAAAAAGATTTCGTACATATCGTAAGCCGAAGCCCTATCACTCCGTTCACTGCTGCTGCCGCCACAGTGCAACAATTTAGCCGAATCGAATTGGAAACTCGAATCACGTACATAAGCCTCCCCATGTGGCTAATTTCCCTCGAGCTGTATACGCGTTTTATGTACTCGAGACGATCCGCGCTGGTCCCGAAACATTGTTGTAAATAAAATGCCGGCTGCGCGAGGAGTTTGTTATACTTTTGCGCCACAATTACGGGAATGACGTGTTCGCAATTTCGAAATTTTACACTCGACGACCGAATGCGTGTACATGTTGCGCATTATATGTGTGTGTGTCTGTTATAGCTGCCGTCGTAACAAACTTCTAGCCGCAATTCGTGCGCATACATACATGCTGCACCGTGCAAGTGAAAAAAAAAAAAAAAATATTATGATATAGGGAAAGCGCCAGAGCGCAATTGCGGTTGCAATACGAATCGAAAGCTGCCGCATACGTACTATGTGTAGGAATTGCTCGCTCGTTTTTGCGGGCTTAGCAGAAATTTTTGACTCTTTCTCTCTCTCTCTCTCCAATTTTTCATTTCAACGAGGGAGGTAACCGATTGGACGAAACGCAAGCACGAGACTCGCGCGACCACATGCACAATAAAACATGCACACAGCATAAAACAGCTTCGTTATACGTGTATGCCGCGCGCGCGACTGCTGCTGCACAGAGCTTGACCACTAACGAGCCGGATTTTCCTTGTTTCCCAAAGTTGCTTCCTCCTCTGTATGTGTTCTCTCTGTCTCTCTATCTGCTACTGCTGCTGCTGCTGCTGCTCACAGAGCCGCTGCGAGCACAGAGGCAGAAATTGAATCCCCAGGCTTTTTCGCGCTTTGCGCGCAATCCTTGCCCTCTTTGGCAGCCGTCGCCGCCGCCGCGCGTATAGTTTGTTGGAGCGTATATTTATCATCAAACAACGAAGAGCACAATTTTTCTTCCTCTTTTTTTTTTGGACTTTCTCTGACGCACGAATGATTGACGCGCTACAACCATCGACACCAGTAGCTGGATCTGTATCGAGCGAATTTGGAAAGAAGCAGCTGCCCTGGCACGAGTATTAGTAGAAGCAGCAGATAGCAAAGGACGATGAGAGCGCGAAATTTCGATCTCTCGTCGAGCTTCGACATTCATCGATGTATATTAACTGTCTCCCTCTCTCTCTCTCTCTCTCTCCATTTCGCTGCGCGGGGGCGCGTGTACAAATTCATTGAGCCGTGAAAGATAGACACGCTCTCGTTCTCTCTCGCTATCTGTGTGCAGGCGCGGGGGTCTATCTCACTATATAGAGCCCTGGCATATGCCTATTTGTGTATATTCGGGCTTGAAAATTCGTGCTCGTTTGCGTATACAGCCTACAAGCACACACACACATAGGCAGACAGAGAGAGAGAGAGGACGAGAAAACCGAACTCGAATACGTATAATACGATCCCATTCGGTGGTCGCGAGCACTAGCTTAAAATTTATATATGGGCGAGGCTCGGAATTTTTTTTCGAATAATCTTGTGCCGACGGTCATCGGATTTTGACGCGTTTTTGGTATCTTTTGGGACGTATACATGAAGAAGGAAATCCGATATTTTAGACCTCGATTCCGCTTGGATGCGGCAAAAATCGTACGAGGTTACTCTTCAACAATCGTAAAAACCCTTTCGAAAACGACTTGGGTAGCCATATGTAGATGGACTGTATTACAAAGTATGTAATTTCCTACAAGAAATCCACTCATCGTTTATCATCACGAAAAAATACTTTTAGACTTATATACAATGAGTTTGACTTTACCACTTGCAGATTTACAGATAAAGCCACTGATCGCCATCTGGTAGTGGAGGCTTGAAATAGTATTATCATATTCAAAGTAGTTAAAAACTGATCTACATTTTTAGAAATAATTAAAGTTTCATTTTTCAATTATTTTCAATCCGCTTAATATTTGAAACATAATTGTAACCCACGAAAATTGCCTAGAACGATCAAGCCAATCAATAGTAATGTATTTTGAATCTTTTCAAATGGTAAGTACTTGGTCATTAGATGATAATAGTAAGCATTTCCACCATTGCCGTGTCTTTGAAATAAACTCATAATGGAATAAGTTCCTTCGAAAACCAAAATACAAATTATAAGCGTTACTGTTAAATTTCTTTAAGAAATGAATACATATACTCGGTTTATATCTAATTTTTTGTTGCAACACAGTTCACGCGATACAACCCATGTACACAAATAACCGAAATCATGATTAATCTACTCCTCCGAATCTCTCGCTCCGACCACGAGCAATAGTCATGCAATGTTATACACATGCATCAGATCCTCATCCACAAATATATAAATGGCATTCTAGACCATTCTCTCTGCATTTGTGCGCTCATGTATGTATACAAAGGAAAGTAGCGTGTGCGTGAGCGGTGGCGCATTATACATGTTTTTTCGTATTGAAAAAGCCGGAACATTGATAGATGGCGAGTACGCGGGAATATCTGCACTGTTGTTGTTTTTTTTTTTACTTCATTTCTCTTTTTTGATATATATAATATACATCTGTACGCGCACGGCAAGCGGGTGCTCGCACGCGCGCGCATACACACAAGCACAAGCCGGGATACAAATGGTTTTCGCCACACGAAAATAAAATGTAATTCAATTCGTATATAGATATGATGCAAGCTTGGATTGTTAAGCTTTTTATGTTATTTATTTTTAGTACATAATCTTTTTACCGAATTTTCCAAAAAAATGCAGAATAAAACATTCAAAAACAAAAAGAAAGGTCGAGCGAACGACCGTTGCACAATGTGCGGAGCAATTTCTCGCACGCGCGCAGGCGAAAATCGTGCTTAAATCAGATTTCTTCTCTCTCTCTCTCTCTCACTCTCTTACTCTCACTCTTATCCGCAGACGCGTCTATCGCTTAATTGAATCGTCACTTTTTCTTCTCTGCGGATCTTATCACGCGCGCAGCAAGTCTCGACTAGAGGAGGCGAGCAGTACCTAATCTCGTTCCTCGTCGTCGTCCTAGCGTCGTCTACGTCTATGTCGGGGGAGAAAATCGAGGCTCGGCTACCCGCAAATGAAACGTCGTGCGCGTCTATATATATAATACGAGTCGCAATATACATATATATAACGAATCGGATCCCGATACTCGGCGTATAGATATATAAATGCTTTGCGTTGGCAATGTAACCTCCCCCGATTTTTTCCTTATCAAAAATATCTTTAGTATATATATGAATTGAATCTTTTTATTACCAGTACTCGAATCCTTGGTAGAAAGGCTCATCATGAAAAATGGTCTAATGACCAAAAAATCAAGATTCACAATGTTTTGAAGTTGATAAATATTAATTAATTGTCTTGTATTTGACGATTTTACTGTTACAATAATGTCACAAATATTAAGTAGATTATTACTATGACACTTCAATTATTTAAAAAAATTTAGAACAATTTTTAATCACTTCTAATACAATAATACCACTTCAACTCTTTGCCGCTAGATGGCGAGTATCTCATTTTGTAAATCTGCAAGTGTTAAAGTAAAAATAATTGTATAAGTACGGTTACAAGTATGAAAAATCCGTCCTTCATCCACTTGAAACTTTCGGTTCTAATGCCTCCATATGTTCAAGAAACTTTTTCGTTGGCCAAAAATTAACCATAAAATATTGAGCACACTTCTCTCAGGAATATACAGATGGCATGAATATACGAGACAGTTGTATATGGCATAACAACAAGCTTGAAGTGGCGTTTAGAGGCAATTTCTCGGATCGTCGATTGGGAAGCCCTCGCAGAAGACCTCGGGCGACCATATCGAGGCGTTGCGCTCGGCGGGCGGCTCGTACTCGCGATCGAGCCAGGGCATCCAGTAGCCGTCGAAATTTTCCGGATAGCCGGCCGGATCGATGTAGGTGTTGGTCTGGTTGGACAGCACGGCGCGCCAGTCCCTCATGTAGGCGTCGAGTATCGTGACTTTCTACATATGCACGACGATGGAACGAGAACGAAAAAGAGAAGAAGAATATCATTCGATTGTTCGGCTGCCAACAGATCCCAAAAAAATAACAAGAGATCAGACAGGATACGCTTACCTCGGGATATTTTTTCGATAAATCAGTCGTCTCGCAGGGATCGCGAATCACGTCGAACAAACAATGATCCTCGCAGTCGGTATAATTCGATGTCTTCGGCCGACAGTCGGCGATGCGAGCCTTCGTCCTCAGCTGCTGGATAATTTTCCCGTCCTTCGGCAGCTGATCGTTCGCTGCCAAGGTTCGAATGCCGAGGGCCGCGGGCGACTTCAGGACACCCTCGACGTCGTACTCCTTGGGCGAGTAGACGTTACCGTCGATCCCGTAGTAATCCTTGTACCTGCGCACATCTGCAGTCACAGCGATCAGATCATCGCGACTATGATAAACGTTCGATTTTTTTTCGATTTACGCAATATTATACGCTCGACTCCATATATAATTTCGGAGCGACTCACTTCGAATCAATTTGTACTGCTGCACGATGACGGCTTCGGGTCCGATGACCTCGTCGATGTTGACGAGCAGCGCCTCGCGACGCTTCGTCTCGGATCCGTCCTCGTCGTCGTCGTTACTGCTGCCGCTCAAAGTCGGCCACTGATCGATACCGTCCAGCTGGAGCGAGTCTCGCGCCGCGACATCGCCGGCGGACGCCGCCGACAGCAGGGTGGGAAACCAATCGGTCATGTGAAACAGGTCCTGCGAGACCCGCGATGATTTTTTTATCAGCGGCGAGTAGACGAGCGCCGGCACTCGTACGCCGCCCTCCCAAACTGTCGCTTTTTGCTGCTCGCGGAGAGAAATCGTAAAAAAAATAGATAGACAGAGAGATAGAAATCAGATGTCAACGTTTTTTTTTCTGCAAGCGCGATCGAGCGATAAAAAGCACAAAAGCGACCGAAAAAAAAAGTAGAAAGACATTACTCCTCGCAGCGGGTAGTTGGAGCCGTGATTTTTGAAGGGCGCTATGGCGGTCGGTGCCCCGTTGTCCGACAGCAACACGATCAGGCTGTTCTCCAGGAGTCGGGCCTCGGCCAGAGCCGCCACTACTCGGCCGACGGACTCGTCCAGGGCCGCGATGACTCCGGCGTACCTCCTCCTGTTGGGCTCGGGCACGTGGCCGAACTCCGCGTCGACCTCCGTGAGATTTCGCACCTCGATCGGCTCGGCGCCCTCGCTCGCGTGCGCCGCCAGATGCGACAGCTGAAGATACAGCGGCTGCTCGGCCGGGTGCGCCCGTATTATTTCCTCCGCTCTGGTGGCGATGAAATCCGTCACGTATCGATCGTCCTTGTAGGGCCGTATTTCGTCCGGCGCCTCGTCCCTGTGATAATCGATTCCCCTGTGTTTCTACGTGTAAATTCGAAGAGAACGACGGTAAATGGGGAAACAAGCAAACAACAACAACAACAACAACGTGGTTGCGGCTTCGAGCCGGCTTACGTTCTTGGTGACGGTGTGATCGAAGTAGCGTATGTAGCCGCCGTAATAGCCCTCGAACGAGTCGTAGCCGCGGCTGGTGGGCAGGTGCGCGTCGCTGTAGTAGCCGAGGTGCCACTTGCCCAGCAGCCGCGTGACGTAGCCCAGCTCCTTGAGGTACTCGGGCAGCAGCCTCTCGCGCAGCGATACGCCCCGAGGCTCGGCCACGTTCGGCGGCAGTCCTTGCAGACCTGCGCGTACAACCAATAATAGTATACCACAATACAATGCGATAATATAACATCTGAAACTTCGGATGAGGTCGGACTTTTTGTCAAAATTAACTTTGTATATGCATACCCATTCTGACGGCGTGACGGCCCGTCAGAAACGAGGCCCGCGACGGTGTGCAGGTGGGCAGGCTGTAGTGGCGATTCAGAATGACTCCGCTGTAAGCGAGCGCGTCGATGTTCGGCGTCGGGATCTCGTTCGAGCCGTGAAAGCCGAAGTCGTTCCAGCCCTATACGGGGGCAATAGAGCGTCAAGTGTACATTTTGCATATCGTTGAAATCTTGAGATATGGTGAAACTAGTGAGATTAACCGAAAGCTGTGTTAATTTGACTTATACATTTATTTTTACTTTTCCGCACTTGCAGATTTACAGATGAAGGTACTCGCCACCTAGTGGCGGATGGTGGTATTGGTCTTCGATTTAGATTTAAATCTTTTTTGTTCACTTTTGCTTTTAAAGTTATGTGTGTGATAGCATTTGCATGCATTTTATTTTATGTTACTTCAGTCTCAATGTCTGATTTTACATTAAATCTACGGTAATATTAAGTTTTTTTTTAAAGTACACGAGAAACATCGATTGCGGTATAAACTCGTTGTCCGTATCAAAAGAAGTGCACCGAGCTCGAGGCTATAGATAGACACAGCTGAACGATAAAAAAGCCTTTACTATACTTACCACATCGTCGGCCATAATGACAATTATGTTTGGTCTAGTTCCATTGTCAACCTGACTCGTCGGCGACGTCGTCGTCGTCGTCGTCGTCGGTAATGTCGGTGGAGGTATTTCGATTAAACCACCGAGCGACAATACCCAAGCAACGAAACTGTAAAAATAATTCAACAGATCCATGACGGCGCACGGGGCACGTGTGAGGGCCGATTCGCTATATTTGTATAATGTGTGTATACGGTCAAAGTCGCGCGGCTCGATCGGGGCAAGCGTCGAACTGACTTCGCATTAAATGCCCAACTACTACGACGACTACCACTACGATGATGACGGCAAATTATCGCGTTATCGGTCGCGCTGTTATGCTCGCTATTATTGCTCGACCGGTTTTTTTTTCTTTCCTCTATTTTTTTCTCATGACACTCGATTCTTTCGGCTTCGCTCGTACAATAAACATACATAATACGAAGTGTTTGTTTGCAGTCGCACGCGAGAGCGAGAGATAAGTCGAGGCTAACGCACTCTGCTGCTGCTACTGCTGCTGCTGCTGCTGCTGTGGCTAGCGCAAAAAGTACACATGCTTTATGAACTTGCTACGAATGCATTTCTCTCTCTCTCTCTCTCTCTCTCTTACTCTCTTCTTACTTCGTGCTGCAGTTAATCAAAAATTTACGAGCACGAGCTGCATTATACACGCGAATAATAACGAAACTAGGCCGCGTTTTGGAGTTTCAACCACTTTTCGCTGTAGCACATAATACGTATATACACACAGCTGCTTCTGCCTCGGCATCGAGCGAATCAGCGCGAGGTTTTCCCATGCGCACTTGTATAATTGCGCGCCATCGCCTATATAGCATATGCATCGCGTGGAAAACTTATATTTTATATATAAGTATATATACATCGCAAGCGCGTGTATATATCTAGCGGCGCGCGAGACAGGATTATCCATCGTAATTAAAACGAGTGCTCGGAAATAGTTCACACTGCGGCAGAGGAATTCTATTTATTTTGTTATACCGCGACGATCGATGGTTAAAAAAAAAAAAAAGAGGAGGAAATGATTAAAAAAACCACGCTGTGCATCTCCAGCGATTAAATCACTCGGTCATCGATGATTTGCGCGCAAATATGCGCGGAGCGTGCCGCGGAATATTTATACCGCGTTCGTGCGGACGCGCAAATCCGAACTAATGCTCGTACGTGGCGCGCGAGTTTTGACGCGCGTTTTATATAATATATACGTACACGATTGATGGCTGCGAAATTCCGTGATTTACGATCATTGTCAAAAATCACGACGCGCGCAGCGGAATTTTTCATCCTTTTTTTCCTGTGCACCCCTTTTTCCATTCGTGTAAAAGCTCCGGATAGACAAAAAAAAAAATTAACGCTCGGTCTGTGTACGAGAATATTTAGCGCGCGCGCGTGGCCGATTGATTTTACGCTCTCTTCAGCTCTATTATTGTCGTCAACGCGGCAGGAGCTGGTAAATAAAAATTGCACCGTTGTCAAATTTATTTTTTTTTTACCGCGAATTCGGCAAAAAGAAAATGAATCTATATCCGTCGTCGTTTCTCGCCAACACGTACACACGTACGAATCGTCGCAAAGAGAAGGGCGAGCGAAAGAAAAAAAGATGTAAAACACTCGCAGCTTATAAGCCGCGTGATAAACGCAAGATAGAGCGTGTGCTGTATTTATTATATATATAGAACAACAACAAAGGGGCGCGCGCGCGCGCAACCCCTGCGCGTGCCTCCCTCGCGCCTACCGACTACTACTACTACTTCTGCTGCTGCTGCTGCGACTGACCATGCGCGTCGTCGAACGCCGGCACATGCTACGTGCTGCACTATATATATACGTCGAGACTTCGTCGCGATGCAGCAGCAGCAGCAGACGAAGAGACTACTACTCCAGTTGGAGCCCAAGTGTGCGCGCGCGAGGGATGCCGATGTGCTGAGCGATATATAGATCTAAAATACATGTACACGAAAATCCTTGCGTCAGGCTGACTGTAGTAGGGTAGTAGTAGTGGTGTTTTTCGCGCGATCCGCGACGCGCTGGGCACGTCATCGACATATCGCGCGCTGTGTATTATCATAAGATATAAGAATAATAAAAAAAAAAGTAATAATAATAATAATAATAAGACAAAGCCGCATCGTTCGCGATTACCAAGTGCGTATACGAAATAGTATCGGTGGTGAATTTTCCACTCTCAATTGCGATCGTTGCGTTAATCATTCTTTCCTTCTTTCAACGGCTGTGATATTGCGTTGAATCGGCATCGAGTTGCTCAACTGATATACACGCATATATATTTATAAATATCTATCTACTATTTGGAAATTATTTATTTAAAAAAAAAAAAAAACGTCCTACAATGAGCTCACGCGTCGCTTTCCCAAGCACTCGTCGTCGTTGTGCCGCCGACGACGATGGTGATAAGGTACGGCCGATGACGCTCACGCTTGTTGTCGCACGGCCGTCTGTTTCCCAATGTACAACAGGTAAATACTTGATTGAAAATACACAAGATGATATATACGTAGATGCCTTAGCGAGCGAGAAAACACACACTTTTCGCGCGATTTCCATTCATATATGCGTATAATCAATGCTGAATCGTCGTTAAAATGTAATGGAGAAAATCCAACGCCGCGTTATACATATAATAGTGCGTTTATAAAATGCGGAAAAATGAAAACAGACGAGTTTCCCTGCGGGCCTTTATACGAGCGAGCGACCGTGTAACATAAACCGTATACATAGCGGCAGACAACATATTTCACGCGCATCGCGTGGCTGATTTTTTTTTTTTTTTTTTTTATTTTCATTCATCCAACACGTGCCTTAATTGCAGCTCGAATTCTGCATTATATACAGCTTTCTGCCACGTGTATATATTTTACATGCAGCAGATGGGAGGGGGGGCCAGGGCGCGAGTGTGCGTTACAACGTGTATATATTATTGTAGGCGATAACGCGCGCGCTGTGCCGCTTGCGAGCCGTCGTCGTTGTTGTTTTATCACGCGTTCAACGCGTGCAATTAATTGTTTTTATTTATTGTTTAACGAGCGATGTGCAGCAGCAGCAGCAGCAGCAGCGGTGGTGGTGGTGGCTATCAGTTTTGACACACATTTTTGCGCGACTGTATACATAATTAATAATTATGCCGACAAAAAAAAAGAAGAAGAAATGACTCGATTGTCGCGGTGATAATCGAGAGTCCGTTGATTAATAACGTTATAAAATCTTGGGATTGTGCTGATCGCACACGTGCTGTACGTACGCTAATACACGCTCGAGGCGGGACGTACATACAATATGTATATAGTTGCCCGCGTACAATGCGAATCAGCGCAGCATTCACTCAGCAAAATGCCACGAGTACATCTCCTACACATATATACGTATATATCTATGTCTGTGCGTGTGTGTGTGCCTTGTATAATACATTTGGAGGCTTCAAGCGCACAGACAGATAGTCAGTAGAGAGTGAGAGAGAGAGAGAGAAATAATACTTCTCGTTAAAATGCAAAGTACGCGGTGTCTCTCTCTCTCTTTCTCTCTCACTCTAGTTCCATCTTTCCCTCACTTTCGGGAATAGAATTTCTGTTTGAGTATATGTATAAATACAATATGTTGCTGCTTTTCATACATTTACGCACACATACGCAGACGCTCGTACTTATAACGCTGCATATACGTGTATATATTTATGCGTGTGTACGATCTGTGTAGGGGGTGAATCTCTCTCTGCGCTCGAGATATGCACGCTGCAACCAAAAGTATATAACGATTGCAGCAGCACCACTACCCACCGACGGTAGATAGTGACTTTGAAGTGTTTGCCTCTCGATATATGTATTTGCTGCCGATCGATATACACACATCGATATATACATAATGCAGGTCGTACGTATGTATGTATGTACGTGATGTGCGTCCGCTGTGTCGCAGCGACGATCTCTGCGTATATACGTTATAAACACATTATCATGGGTTTAAAGGCAATTCGCGCAGAGCTCGGCGACGGTATACAGGGTACACAGCAGCAGCTCGCAATTTTTGCTGAAAATTACGTCAATCGGCTTGGGTATTACGGAGAGGAGATATTTAAACAGCTGATGAATTTGAACTGCGATACGTTATATACGCGCGATTGTATGCCGAGGATATTACCATATCTAAATAACGCGCGCGCGCGACAAGCCGTGTATACGCGCGACACGATCGCGCTGCGGCTTATATCGTATGTAGAGCTGCGTCGACACGTTCGTTACACGTTGGTATTTATTTTGTATATCCTCGAAATGTAAAAAATATTCGCAATTTTTGCATTTTTGACAGAAAAAGGAACGAAGAGAAAATAATAATACCACGAAGGTAGATTCGTGTAAATATTATTACCGAGAAACACAATAAATAAATATACACACACGTATACACACACGACAACGGCCTGTGCGGTTATAAGGGCGACCTCCCCCGATCGATGCCCGAGAGAAATCGATCGAATATTTATATATATTCGTGCCTATATGTGCCTCTTTCTACTCGTCTCGGATACGAGACGTACCGAGTTTTTCCTTTTTTTTTTTCTTTTCGTGCATGTGTACACGAGGTCGGTGCCGTAAGCGATACACCGCACATATACCCATATACCCAACGCGATAATGACCGAGATTATACAGCGGCGCGGGGACGAGCGTAATTTGCCCCGTTTTAAAGAACGAGAATGAAAAAAAGAAAAAACAATATAACGCACAGTGATTGGCCATCTGTGCTTTTTTGTGTGCTCGACGTACATAATATAATATAATACGCGCTAAATTCATATAAGTGGCCGAGGTGGCGGGAGGGTAATTAGTTTATTAGTCGCGAATAGCATCGCATTACGATGGTATGATATACTTTATCGCGCGAGGAAAATTCGGGTCGCTCTCCTAGAGCGGCGGGCAAAAACTTCATCAAGATCGATCCGACTTTTCCTTCGTCGTGCCGACCGTATATATACATACGTTGCGGCCTATAACCGTTTCCCTTTCGAGACGCGACGCCCGACGCGATCCGGAGCGCGAGCTAGTGCGCGCGGGCGGGCGTGATAATTGCATTCAAAGTGGCGTGGTCGTGTGTATATATAGAAAGCGTCGCTTTTTCTTCTTCTTCTTCTTCCTCTACTTACTTCTAGTTTTTCTTCTAAACGACGGGCTGGGCGATGGTATTAAATGCATTGATTACGTGTCGGGAGTAATGAGAAAAATTTTTTCCGACCCTTTGTATATATACACAGAGAGAAGCCGCAGAGCTTCGAA